AGTGCTCATTTACCATCTGAAAATCCCAGGGCCCTTAAGAACTATGCTAAATCTACTCTGCCCGTGCTCTATGAATGGAACCACAAAGCCTGGATGGCAGCACATCTGTTTACCGCATGGTTTACTGACTACTTTAAGCCCACCGTTGAGACCTACCGCTCAGAAAGTAAGATTCCTTTCCAAATATTACTGCTCACTGACAAGGTACCCGATCACCCAAGAACTATGATGTACAATGAGGTTCATGCTCTTTTCATGTCTGCTAACACATCCATCCTGCAGCCCGTGGATCAAGGAGCCATCCTGACTTTCAAGTCGCACCATTTAAGAAGTGCATTTCGCAAGGCTACAGCTGCAGTAGACAGTGACTCCTCTCATAGATCAGGGCAAAGGAAACTGAAAAGCTTCTGGGACGGATTCAGCAATCTAGATGCCATTAAGGATCTGTGATTCATGGGAAGAGGTCAAAATGTCAACATGAACAGGGGTTTGGAAGAAGTGGATTCCAACCCTCAGGGATGACCTTGAGGGGCTCAAGACTTCAGTGGAGGAAGGAACTGCAGATGTGGTGGAAACACAAGAGAACTAGAATTAGAAGTGGGGTCTAAGATGTGACTGAACTGCTGTAATCTCAGGATAAAATCCGAACAGATGAGGAGTTGCTTCTTATGGATGAGCAAAGAAAGTGGTTTCTTGAGATAGAATTTACTCCTGGTAAAGATGCTGTGAAGATTGCTGAAATTCTAACAAAGGATTTAGAATAGTGCCTAAAGTTAGCTGCTAAAACAGTGGCAGATTTTGAGAGGACTCCAATTTCGAAAGAAGTTCTACTGTGGGTAAAATACTATCAAACAACATTGCAGGCTACAGAGAAATCGTCCGTGAAAGGAAGAGTCAGTCCATGTGGCAAACTTCATTGTCTTATTTTAAGAAATGGCTGCGGCCACCCCAGCCTTCAGAGACCACCACCCTGATCAGCCAGCAGCCACCACCAAGCAAGGCAAGACCCTCCCACCAGCAAAAAGATTATGACTCGCTGAAGGCTCAGATGATGGCTAGTGATTTTTAGCAATAAAGTATTTTTTAATTAAGGCATGTACATTTTTTTTAGGTATAATGCTATTGCACACTTACAGTATGGTATAAACACAACTGTTATATGCACTGGGAAACCAAACAATCTGTATGACTCTCCCTTTTACTGCAGTGTCTGAAACTGAGCCCGTAATGTCCCCGCGGCCTGCCTGCAGTGATTCTGCTGGCTGTCCATGGATATGCTCTTCTAGCCCCTGTGCTTCCTATGGATTAAGTAGGTAGATCTAGGTGTTGAAGTTTGACTTTCTGGTAAGACGTCGTCGTTGTTGTATTGTGAGACTTATTTCTAATTGTGGGATAAAAGATGTGTTCTGCACACTAAGTCTGATTTGGTACTGTCACCCCTGGGGGTGGGGAGTGGTGTCATCAACGGGAGGCCATGGCTCCTCTCCCCTAATATGCCTTTCAATTTTTGAAAGTTGCAGTAAATGATCATGTCTTGTGAGCAACAAACCTGAAGACCACGCACATGTAAGGAGTTTGGTGTTATGATCAAACAAAACAAAAAAACAAAAAGTTAACCTGAACTTTCAGTTACAGATGGCAGACTAAAACCACACATTAACCTTAGCTCTAACCAAAACCCTACGAAAATGACAGTGCATTTGTGTGTGTGTGTGTGTGTGTACGTGTGTACATACAGCATCCATACCCAGTACATGCACATAGTCCATCTACTGCACACAACAGTACAGATGTAGTTATACAGAGATAGTTAATAATTAAATAAATACACATGTATATCTGCAAAGAAAAAGGAGAACAGGAGACGAAATAGCCACAGGAGTTTAAAAGCTGCCAAGGATATGAGTGAGTGGAAACTGATGTAGCTGACCTAAAAAAGTCAGATCCTAAACTGGCAGTATAAAAAGCAAGGATGCAGCCCAGTTTACATGGCAAAACTGAGCCCCAAAGGCTCAAGAACTTGTGGTGTGGCAACTCCTGAAAGTGGGGATAAAGTTGGGCTAAAACTGAATGGTCGGCTCAAAGGCTGATAAGAAAGAGGCAGATGTTCCCAGGGCTCCTCACCTGTCCCCCTCAGCAGAGCCAGGGCTTCCTTCTCCACGATGGTAAATACAGGAGCTTGTGCGATACCAGGTCCAGGCGAGAGCAGGGGTGCTGCCCTGAAAACGTGACCTCCCAGCCTTCTTCCTGCTCTTGCTTCCAGACGCTGAAGGCACCTCATACCCACTTGGCATGAGATCAGAAGAACCCCCTCTGGGAAATCTTATCAGCCCCAGAGAAGTGACCTAAATATATCAATTTAGGGGATTCCCCAATGAAAAGGCCCATCCAGACCACCCTGGTTGAAGCCCGTAGTTGATAAGCCCCTTCCACCGCAGGGAGCTCGCAGTCCAGTTCAGCTTTATGGTGCTCTACCGCTAAACATAGGTAGCTACCCAAGCTTTTGCTAGAAATCTGAAGGACGCTTACGATGTTTATTCTAGTGCATAAGACAGAAGAATACAGCAAACTGGAGACTATGAAAAAAGAAAAAAACTGCTAGAAGTGTAGTATTATTCCCGGAGAAATAAGAAATAAACAGGACTCTATAAAAAAGAATATTCAGGGGACAAAAAACTCATACATTAAAAACAACGTAGCAGAAATGGAAAACCCGACAGGAAGGCTGGACAGTAAACGTAAAAGTTTCCCAGGAAGTAGGATAAAGGCAAAGAGAAAACAAGAGGGAAAAGATTTTTAAAATTTTAAGAAGATCCAGGATAGGAGATCCTAATACTAAAAACAAAGAGAAAAAAACAACAAAACCACACACACCAGGGGCAGAGGAGATTCAAAGAAATGATTCAAGACAACTTCCCAGAATCTAAAGACATTCGATTCAGCACTAGGAACCAAAAGGCATCACAACCCAGAGCAACGTCAGGAACTGAGAACTGGGAAAAGGAGATAATCCTTCAAGCAGAGAGCGACGGAGCCGGGCACTGAGGTCGACGGTGCAAAGGCTCGACAGCTGGGAAGGAGGCCTCCAAGCCAGAATCCTCACGCGGCTACTCAAGGTCTCAGACACTCACCTCCGCCCACCCTTCTCAAGGAGCTGCCAGACCAAGGAGGGATGGAGCTGTGGCTGCTCCAGCAGCGGGCCGAGGCGGGGACCTGAGGGGACAGGCTTGGCGACCTTACTTACTCCAGGCGAACCTGAGCCCGTCTGCAAGGCCCTCCGTGGAGCTGGGGTGGAGGGGCTCTGGGGTGAGGGAAGACTGCGTAGAAAACGCAGCAAGGGCAGCAGCAAAGGCTCTCAGCACGTCCCTGGCTGAGGGCCCAGGAGCAGCGACCCGACGGAACTGACCGGACACCCGGAGCCCAGGAGGGGCCTGCAGGCTGACCCAGCAGCCGGTGGGCAGTCGGTGCCAAGTCTCCAGTTCCTCCGACTCCTTCCCTGTTGCTCTCTGGTCACTCAGGAAATCAGGAAGCTGCCAAGCCCAGCCACCACCTCTCCGCACTCACCCCCCGGACCCCCGCCCCGCCTGCCGACGGCCTCTGCTCTTCCCATGATCCCGTCGCTCCGTGACCGCTGTGGCTCAGCCCCACTCAAGTCCCCGGGCCTCTCGGGCAATCAGAGTTGGCAGTGGTCTCTGCTCTCAGGGGCTGTTTGTGCCCAGCTGGAGGTCTGTAGGCAGGGAGGGAGGGAAGGGAAATTCGAGAAAAACGTGACAGAAACAATGAAAACCAGCACAATGGTCAACAGTGGCCACAGTCACAAGCCGGGACAGTCATGGTCCCACGATAAGGAGGACAGTGCGGCCAGCTCCAGGGCCAGCCGGTCGAGGGGCGCTCCTGGCTTTCACCAACAGGCACACCCGCAGACCCAGCTCCTGTTTGGAAAACATTTTCGTTACGTATTTATCACCTGGCCAGGCACAAAAAGCCTTTCCAGTGATACATACACTGGAACTGAATGAAAAGTGTGGGTGAACAGAAACTGAGGTGACATCAGTGCACAAAGAGCACGATGAATCTCATATATAACAAATATGCAACGTGCATTTAAAGCAAAGCTAAAGTCCTTGAAATTGATGTTCTGTGTTATGCATATCAGACATTCAATCCATGTTTTAGATTTCAGAGCGTATTTACCTTCACGACAGTACTGGTAGGTAGTTTTATGACAATTACTTTAACCATGTATTAAATAAAACCTAGTTGACTCTTACTTTAGAACCCTCATCTTGATGTAAAAGCTGGTTCAAACATCCTGTGGCCCTCATACAACCACCAGCTGCACACCTGACAGCACATGATCAGGACAGAGACCCAGCACCGTCTTGAACCAAATCAGAGTTGCAAGTGCAAGCTCTTTAGTTCTCCTCCTTCAAGAAAACTGGATGAAGGACGGGGACAAGACAGTGACTTGGGTGCCGCGCCCACCGCAGGGATGCTTGCCTGTGACGAGGGAATCATTTCTGGAACATGCACTTTCATGGGACACAGACAGAGGAGTCTCGGCAAGCCCAGACCACTGCCAGTACTTTCCTGGTGCTGAAGGCCAGGCCGACGTGGCTGTGCTGGACCCAAGGGCCTCTGGGCGCCTCGTGTCTTCTCGGCGCCTGTTTTCGCCTCTCGGCTTTCTTCTAACTTCACTACAGCCAGCAATCTCCTCTTAACCACTAAACCGTCTTCTGTAGCCCAGGCAGCTGTTCTTCCAGCAAGTCCTCCGTGAACCCCCTCCTTTGGGTTTGAGGTTCTCATGCTCCGACGCTCCATTCCGAGCCACAGAAGTGCTTCCCTGGTCCTCTTCTGCTTAAGTGTTATTGTGCTTCCCTGAGCCATGAAGTCCTCGTCTTGGCTCCTATGGGCCTGACAGGGCGGGGCCCCCAACAAGAGGCGAATCAGCGGGACCCCTGGTAATGCTTTCCAACAACGATCAGACAAACACAAGGTAAACCGGGATTTAAGCACTGGGTTGGCCCAAAAGTTCCGAACAAACTTTTTGGCCAACCCAATATTTATTGTGAGGGTTATAACTAGACATATAAAAAGTTACACAGCTAATGAAAATGCTGAAATAAAGATGCTTAGGGAAAAAACGCCAACTAACTTACATCTCGTATTAAAGACACACTATTGGCTGAAGGCTCTGCATCAGATATTTAAAATAACACAAACACTCAGGATTGCAGTTTTGTAATTTAGTTCTCAGCCGTGGCAGATACAATGGTTAACATGCTTAGGACAGACGACAGTCCGTATATTTCTTAATAAGCTTCATCCAGCACATCTGTACAAGGTGAAACGTTCCCTTCTAGTTGCCACGCCCCATCCCCCAACACCAACAAATGCACAAACACAACAGGGACTCACTTCAAACGATGGACACTGCACATGGCCATGATGGACCGCAGAGTTCCCCGTATTAATACAGACCTTAATGCCAGTGTTGAAAAGGGGATTCTGTGACATCCCTGGAAAAATCTAAAACCCTGACTCAGTTTTCTGAAGCAAACGGTGTGACAAAGTCAGGTCAGGGAAGCTGACTCTGAAGGAGGTCGCGGCAGCCTGACATGCTCTGGTAACGGTGTCAGCGGCAGCTCCCACGCCTGGTGACACAGATGCCACCAGAGCAGACCCCCCGTGGCCACCAAGCAGGCCACTCAAGGGGCCAGAAGTGGCGCGGAAGGTGCCAGAGGGACAGCGTGCACAAGGCGCCTGGGCCCGCCGTTCCCCACGCGTGCAAGGGGGTCCTGGGGCAGGAGGCACGATGCCGCAAGGCCCACGTCAGGTTCAGGGCGAGTCACACAAAAGAGGCCCGATGTCACGAGCGCTGTGAACATAGAAAGTGGCAGCAGTTAACTCACGGATGGAGGACCACAGAAAGCACAGCCCAAATGTCACACCTTTTAATTCAGACCACACGTTTTTCTAAAAGTCTACTTGAATCGGGAGCCATCTGTATGAAATAAAGGTTTTAAGCACAGCTGCACAATTTAGGACAGCTGAAGCTCCAGATGCTCGCATGTAACTTCCTGATGAATCTCTCGTCGCCGCCCCAGGTGCCCTGGAAGCTGCAGGAGGCCCCGGAAGATGCTTCGGTGTAGGCCTGAGCCGCCCAGTCTTCCGCAGCCTTCACCATGCAGCATGCAGCTACGAGAGAAAACTCTGTGTTTTAAAAAGGCATTTTAAAGTCATACGGGGCCTAACGTAATAAAAGCGACAAAGCAAATGCTGCTTGGACGTTTTACATCAGGTCATTTTGGTTGAAATATAACACATACCAACATCTTCCTAAGCTACCAATTCAAGGGAATGGGAAGAGAGAGAGATCGCAAGCCTAACCGGTGCTTTCCGCCCAGATATACCTGTGGGCGTTCGGGGGAGCGTGTCATCTGGAAGGCACCTGCGTCTTCACGGCAGGCGGAGGGGCGGCCTGGAAGCAGGCGAGCTGCAGGTGCACGCCGCTCCTGACCCGGCTCAGCAGCAACTCCAGCAGCCTGTGGGGAGAGGCGCTGACAGCCACGGGCGGGCGGCGGGCGGGACCCAGACACGCTCGCCCGGTCCGGTCCGGTCCGGTCCCCCACACGCCCTGCCCCACGGTGCCTCCCTGGGCCAGGAAAGTCACTCATCTGTGGATTCTGGACTCAATGACAGAAATAAGCCGACCAAAGAAGCTAGCTGCAAGGACATACACGTGCAGACGTCTTCACCTTATACATAAAATCGTCCTTCTGTCCCCTTCCCCTAGATTAGTTAGATGCTCCCCCAAACAGACTGATGTTTGGGTATTTGAGCCTCTAATTTTAAACACTTCACATACACTGAAATGTACTCTTTTTGGCATCAGCTCTGTGCCCGTTGCTAAACGCACCGCAGCAGCCTCAAGACCCCCGCCGTCAGGACAGAGCAGTCCCGTCACCTCCAAATCCTCCTGTGCTGCCCTTCCGTCGTCACCTTTGCCCTCACCCCACCCCTTGGCAACTATTGGTCTCTTTTCTGTTGCTCTTATTTTGCATTTCTGCCTTTAGCAAACACTGGAGAAGGGGACTGAAGGGGTGAATTAAGCACAGGAACACCCAGGGTCAGTCCCAACCCCAGCAATAACCTGCCCGGTCCCTGTGCTGGCCAGACAGAGCCGCATCATTCTGGGGCCACAAGGGACCTTACAGCTCGTCTGGCTCAGAGGAAGCAGCCAAGAAATGAGCTTACTGGGGTCAAGAGACTACTTCCTGGTTTCACGGCGCTCCCCGCAGATCTGAAACAGCCCCCGTCCTGGCCTTCACTGTGATGTCTGCTGCTCCTGACTCCCTCAAAAGCACTGGACTTTTGAGCCTAGAGAGCACTAGCTGCACATGTTAACGATACGTGGCTGCTTCAATCTTTCATGATGTTCACGCTAGAGGAATGGACAGCATTTGAACCACGCAGTCAGCGAGAGGAGCAGGAGACTAGGAAGGTCTCTGCCGCCCGTCCTCCCAGCCCCGTCCACACCCTACAGGCTCCCTCTGCCCTCTGAGTGTCCACAGCAACCTCTGTGCTGTCCCAGGCCACACCGAGGGTGTCACGCAGTCAGGGTTCCGTAACTGTCTGCCTTGTCAGCCAGCTGCAAGGGTGGGCGGACCTCGGCCGGGCTGGGGAAAGGGCCCAGGCCGGCGGTGTTTCCGTTGTCTCAGGTGAGGGGAGCCCGGGCACTCATGACCTTTGCCTGGCCTAGACTTTGTCTCGGGTCAGAATTTCCTGTTACGTGAGTAGCAAAGTTTGAGGTCAGGCTGAGACCATTAATACAATATCGAAACGTATATAACTTTATTATGTCATGTCTACAAATTTAGTCTTAACACTTCATATTATAGAGCACAAAATGTACACTGCTGACCTACTGGAAGGAAAAAATCATTGAGTCCTGCATTTTACTATGCTGTCCTCTCTTTTACATTTCTCGAAGTATTTTCTTAAATATTTCAGATAAGAATATAGTTTACTGAGTGAGTCAAAATAAACTTTCTTATGAAAGTTTAAGGGACTGGTACGGTCACTTAAAACAGTAAAAGAACCAATTTCTGAATCGTCATGAAACCCAGGTTTTACCTCCTTCTGCCGCGTGGGAGACAAGCTAACAACACATACCTGAGGGCCACCGAGTACCGCCTTCCTCAAGGCCAAGTCTCCACCTGAAGAGGAGGAGTTTAGGTCCCTGAGACCAGCACCCAGACTTACTTTCTGTCCGCTCCACTCGAGAGCTGCGGTAGGGCTTCCAGAGCCTGCTTGAAACTGGATCTGGAACACAGACAACATCCCAGGCAGGGACACGCCGGCCCCACCGGGAAGAGGAACGTCAGAAAAAGCTCATCAGAGAACATACAGGCCAGTAGAAGAGAAACATACAGGCTAGTAGAAGCAGGGGGAAAAGTGAAAGTGAAAGAGGGTTTGTAGGAGCTGGGCCAGAAGAATTCAACCAGCAAATAAAACACAACGTGAAAAGCAAAGGAGAAGCTGATTTTTACACAAGGGTGCTACTCACCGTGCTAGGTGAGAGCTTCGTGTGGAGTCATTAAATTTAAGGAGGTCTTTACTTTCAAAACAAAGCTGAAGTACACAGATGAAACAGCTGGTAAGGGAGGAAGAGGGCTAAGTAGAAACAGGGATGATCTTGTGCAACAGTATACAAAGGGGGTATTTCTAGAATTGACCTGTGCAGGGCCTGATTTCCAGCCAACCTCTTATAATAACTGAACATGTCTTAAGAGGATTTAGCTGTTATCATATTTAAAATTTGTACGATAATGGAGAGGGGGGTGTGTGTGTGTGTGTATGTGTAATTCAACATCATTTCATTTCTTGAAATACGGAAAAGGGAGTGGATTTAAAAACCACCAATTTGGTATGTTTAACTTTTTAAAGTAGAAAATACCAGAAAAGTTACTAAATCAAATGAAAAGCATTTTAGGGGAGATTATTTGGTAATAACTTGTATTGTTCACTAAGGAACAGTTCTCATCTCTTTTTGTTTTATGACTATTGACTAAAGTAAAGAAATAAATGTAATTATTTTGACTTCAAAGTGGCCTTTGATTTTTTTCTTTTTGTAAAAACGTCTGCATCAGTGGACCAGGAAATAAACTTCTGAGCAATGTTCCTCAAACTAGGGGCAGGTATCAGAGCAACACACAGAGAGACAGCAAAGTACCAACAGGGCCCCAGAAATTGGCAGGGTGCCCAGCTGTTCCTGGTGGGTCAGGTATGGGGGGGTGGGGACAGGTCACAGCTTGTGGGCACTTAGTCCTCTTCCCTGACGTGGAGAGAAGTCTCTACCGCCGCCTCCACTGTCACCTGGCTTCCTGTAAACCTCTTCTCATTCGATGAAGAGCAATGTGAGGCCACTGCTCTCTATTTTTACATCACGACCAAGAAGAAGAGGATGAAGGTGGCCCCACCAAGAGTTTACTGGGTGGTTTGACATAGTTTCTCATTTAATTCCCCCAAAACTTTGCCTAGAAAGTATTATTATCTTCCTGTCACAGATGAGGAAGCTGGGCTACGAAAGGTCAAGTCAGTGGGAAAGAACACACAGGTCCGTCCTCATGCACAGCACCTCACCCATGGGTCCTGGGCGGGCGCTTTCTGGTGTCTATCACTCAGCACTTGTGCAGAGCAGCAGTGGTGGGAACGAACCAGAAAGGCTCCTGGTCAGCCGCCAGAACAGAAGTAAGAGGCTAATAACCTCATGTGTTAGGAAAACATGGAAAAGTTTTCAGCTGTAGCAATGACAGTCAGGATGACGGCACGAGCACACCGTCTAAAGCTGGAAACGAACGGTTAAGTACATCGCACATCGTGTTTAAGCAGTTCCCCTGTGGACCCAACACTTCCCAGGCAATACTGCCAATGGGGTAAACAATCTTCTGTAGGTAGTGTTGTTTTGGTTCACCTACTGATGTTTCAATGATAGGAAATCCTGACTTTCATTCAAAACAGCTAAGAATTATCACCAAATTTCCACTACAAAATTTTGCAGAGAAACCACAAGGCCTTCCTCTTATGCTGATACTCACGAGGCTTGAACTGTCCTTCAGAGTCTGTGATGAATAGACTGACTCAATTCTTATTTTCTCCTTTTCAAAAGAAGTATGCAATGCTCTGCTACACCGCTTATGAGACTAAGACTTACCTCAGTGAATGAGAAACATGAAATTACATTAAACCTCTTTTCCTTCTGTGCTACAAAGAAGCAGTCTCTGGAGTCCTTGGCTTACTGTAGGTTTGTGCTTTTAACAAAACAACTGATCACACATGAACTATGAGACCACAGTCACAAGCGCTCGCTGTGATCAGTCACCTTCACCTGGGACCTAACGCCTGTACGACGAGCTTTACTACAGGGGCTTTCGGAGCACTCACAGCACGGCCACGGAGCATCTCACCTGCTCTCTGGCGTCAGGTGAGCAGCCACGGTGTCCCTCAGGGTGCAGATTTCAAGCCTTGCCTGGAGGTGAGAAAGGGATAGGTGACCATGGGAACTATGTTGCCTGTCAAACAGAAACAACGCGAGGGTCGGCCCCCAGCCTGCTCCATGCAGGGCAGACCCCCATGGCCACAGTGGCAGCTCGTTACGAGTGAGCAGACCTTCTAAATCAGCCCAAAGAAACCGGCCACAACAAAGTTCCCTTTCACTGAAAACTGTCTGAGAGTCAAGTCTGACTGTGTGGAGGCAGGTGTCCTGCTCTGAAGGGTAGGGACTGTGCCAGGGCCGTCCAGCCACCAGACGTCACCCTCCAACCAGTGCCTCCCCTGATCTCCCTGGGGAGACCAGGACTGTCCTGTCCCGAGACTGACAGGAGGTGGAAGGACGCGGGCTGCCACACTGCCTCCTGCCCTGCCCTTCCAGGCTCCACGACTCTAACCTCAGAGCTAAGCTCTGCAGACTCAGTGCAGCGCTATGAAAGTCACAGCTGGCTTTTCTCTTTCTTTTCTTTTTTCTTTTTAAAAACAAAACTTGACAAGTTGATCCTAGACACAACAATATGGAAATGGAATAGCACAGTTGGAGAAACTCAGACCTTCTCATTTCAAAACTTACTGCAAAGCTACCATAATCCAAACAGTGTGGCACTGGCACACGGACAGACATGTAGATCAACAGGAACATGGCTGCGTGCCCAGAAACAAACCCTTACATTTACGATCAGCTGACTTTCAACAAAGTGCCAAGACCATTTGGTGGGAGAGATGGTCTCTCCAACACATGGTGCTAGGGACAGCTAGACAACTGAACGTCCACACTCAAAAGGACAGAAGGTGGGTCCCTTCCTTAAAAACTGACTCAGAATGGATCACAGACCTAAATGTAAGTGAAAAAACTATAAAACCCTTAGAAGAAAACAGGAGTAAACCTCTGTGACATTAGGCTAGGCCTGCCTTCTTAGGAATGACAATAGAAGTACAAGTGACAAAAGAAAAATTAGATAATTTGGGCTTCATCAAAATCAAAACATTCTGTGCTACAAAGGACACCATCACAAAAGTGACGACCCCACAGAATGACATACTGTTTCACACACACGGGGCCGGCTACGACCAACCAGACAGTCACAGGTGCCGACGAGGATGTGGAGAATTTGGAAACCTCATACACTGCTGGTAGGAAAGCACATGGTATAGCTACTTGGAAAACAGTCTGGCAGCTCATCAGAAGACTAAACACAGAGTAGCCACATAACCTAGTGATTCCAGTCCTGGGGGTATCCCCAAGAGAAATGAGAACATGTGTCCACAGAAAACTTGTACACAATTGTTCACAGAAACTTTCTTTGTATCAGCCAAAAAGTGCAAACCCAAATGTCCATCAAACGATGAGTGAACAAATAAAATGCGGCATATCTATACAATGGGACGTTATTCAGCCACAACAAGGCATGACACAGGCTGCAATAGGGACGAACCTTGCAAGCATTACGCTCAGTGAAAGAAGCCCATCACAAAAAGCCATATTCTATGATCCCACTTATATGAAATTTTCAGAAGAGGCAAACCAGAGACAGAAAGCAGACAGGTGCTTGTCAGTGGCTGGGGTGGGGGCTGGGAGGGACGTGGACGGTGACGGCTAACGGGGCTGGGGTTTCTCTCTGGGGTGATGCAGCGCTCCACAGTGGATTGTGGTGACGGACTGCACCACTCTGTGAACACAGCAGAAGAAAATCCACTGAACTGTATTCTTTTTATCTTGCAGACGCACTGTACAGCATATGAATTTCATCTGCGTAAGAGTTTTAAGAAAAAACAAGCTAACCTAACGCTTCTACCTCTTGGCAAGGGTGGAGAGGGTGTGCTCTGCATACAGCTTGCTGCCCTCAGAGCCCTAGGGCCTTCAGCGAGGACACCCTCCTTCACCTCAGGTACCGCAGTGTGCGTGCTGCCCAGGAGACTGTTTTAAAGACACAGCCCTCACCTCTAGGTGTGCACAAAACACAAACAACAATGAAAGACATGGCTAGTTTTTAAATTAACCAATCAAGATAAAAGCTGACTTACATAAGATACAGTACGTTCAGTGAAATGTTCAGTTTGGAAAGCAATTGTTTGGTTTCGTTTTTCAGGGGTTTAGAAGCCTGAAACAGTTTGTAATGAGAAAGCGTAGACATGACAATTTGTCTCTCTTGTTTACATTCTAGTGTATATAAAAACGAACCTACAAGGAAAACATCAAAGAGAAAAAACAAGGTAGAACTTTCGGCTGAATGTTTTAGGAGAAGGATTAAATCACTGTAAAACTAGTATCTGCTAGAAATTTTATTCAAACAAAGTGATAAGGAATTAACCTATGAATTATGCCACTTGTAAAAGCTGTGATTATTTATACAAAATACATGGACCGTTTGCCAGAAAACGCCCCTGCCGGCGGCTCTCGGGAAGGTCTGAGGCTGATGGCCGGGCCAACCCTTCACGCGGGCCTCGCAGAGCCATCTGATCAGGAGGAGGTCACACACAGGTATCCCGAACGGCAGTGGCCAACGTTTCACAACACAACTGACGCCAGTCTCCAGGAGGCACAGAGCTCAGGAGGCCGGGCTGCCAGCCGGTTCCGATGTCTCTTTCTGCCCCTTCCTGCTGACCCTCCTGCGAGAGGAACTCAGTCATCAGCTAAATGGGCTGCAGAAAAAATCTGCAGGGAGGGGAGCTTTTTGTTGTAATTCCAGGACCGCCTAGGCCCAAAGCAGCTACTGAAACTTCCTTTCAATTCATCTTCACATACACAATTCCTGTTACTGATCTCCTCCTGCACAACTATTTAGAACAGCCATGATCATGGAAATATTATGAAGTTTCTGTGATGGATTTTCCCCTCGCCAGCTTGCCAGGTCAATACACATGCTCAATCCCTTTCACCCTGCGTTTCTGTGTGAACTTTTTCAAGTGCAGAGACTCTGGGAGAACTTTACAGCGAGCACCTGTGCAGCACAGACTCCGCCGCCAATGTTCTCCACAGCACACGCATCTGCCACAGGCGTCACTGCCTGGAGTAGGCTGTTGCAACTTTTTCGATTCTTTGAGTTAAAACTTACACACTGCACAATGGACAAATCTTTGAGTGCACATCTGGTGAGTTCGGGCTGCTGCACACGCTGTGTGCGGGAACCATCCCGAGGTGTAGGACCACCGCCTGCAGAGCCCCCTCAGCTCCCCGACTGGTGTCAACCACCCAGGGGACAGCGTCGTCCTGGGGTTTTCTCCACGAAAATGATATCCATCCAGTACAAGGCCCCCTTCACGTGGCTTCCCTGACGCTGAACGGTAATTGTTTTATGGATCCACCATTTGTTTGTTTACCCTACTGATGGACACCTGGGCTGTTTCCAGTGTTTGGATGGGTAACTGTATACTTAGTTTTGAAAGAAACTGCAAGAACTTTTCCCGAAGCAGCGGTACTATTTCACACTCCTGCCAACGCGTGAGAACTCGCTTCTCTACAGTCTTGCCAAAACTGGGTGTTTTCAGTCTTTAATTTTCTTCTTCCTGCTGGATGGGAACTCACTGTTGTGTCAGTTTTCACGTCTCAAATAACTAATGATGTGGACCATCCTTCACCTGCTGATTGGACATGGAATCACATGTCCCAGGGTCCCTAGAGCTCTGTTTATTTTTTCTCAATTCTTCTTCTCTCTCTTCTTCATATTGGATAACTGAAGTTTGGTCTATACATTCACTGATTTTTTTCTTTTGTCCTCTCTATCCTGCTGTTATTACCATCAAGTATATTTTAAAATATTAATGTATTATACTTTTCTACTCCAGAATTTCTACTTAGTTCCTATTTTAGGGCTCCTATTTTTCTGCTGAGATTCCCTGTCTGTTCATTCATTAGGAGCACAGTCTCCTTTACATCACTGAACACAGCTGCTTTAAAATCCTTGTCTGATTTCTAACAACTGGGTCATCTCAGGGCTGGTCTCAGCTGATTGTCTTTTCTATTGAGAATGGGTCATGTTTTCCTGTTTTGTTTTGCTTGTGCATTTCAACTAAATTTGGATTGTATCCTGGACATTGTGAATGTTATCTTGAGAAGACTCTGGGTTCTATAATATGCTTCTGAAGAGCTGATTTTTGTTTATTTTAACAAGCAATAAATGTATCTGGACTCAAACTGAAAACTCTCGGCTCTGGGGCAGCTTTTCAGTTCTTACTTCGGTTCTTGCCTTATGTGGGCTGGAGTGGAGTTTGACCAGGCGTGTGGTTTAGGGGCCAACTGGAGACCCAGGCAGTGTATACACAGAACTTACGGCTCCTGCTTTCTGCTCCCTGGGATACCTCCCTTGCTTTCCTGTAGTTGTGGCTGCCCTGAAGCCTATTCTTCTAAACTGAAAAGACAACAGGTTTTATGTAGTTTTAGTTTCCCCTGGGCCTGCATTCAGGCCAAAATCCATAAAAAGTGAGGAATTCACCCAAGTGCCATTTCTTCCAGAATCAGCCACTCATGTTCACTCTCTAGAGTCTTCAGGTTTTTGTTTTTACATTTTTTATTTTTATACATTATTCAGGATTAGAGTTGTTATCTCTAGGGGGTTGGCCTGATAGGAGGTCCTCAGGCATTACCAGAAGCAAAACTTCTGGTACTTTAAGAAGATACCCTCACAATGCCCTTGGGCATGAGGGCCTACAGGGGGGCTCACGCCCCCACAGGCCTGCACACCCTGGTTCCTACTGATCTGGCTACAGGCAAACCAAGGCTCATCTGACTTACAGAAGTTACCTTTGCTATTGTAATTACGTAGTTTAAGTAAATACAACATAAACCAATGGAATATGAGTAGAAAAAACAGTTATTTGCTGTTTCTATGCAAACTGCATTTGAATGCTCTGGAAAGACTATTTACAAGAAGTTTCTAAAAATTTCCTGTTAAATTGAACGTGGTGAAGACAACTGTAAAACAGAAAACATCACAGAACTTCAGAAGGAATCTGCATTCAGATAGTTTCACAAGAGTCACTGTACTCTAAAGGGACAGGAACTCTGGAACTGTCGACGCCATGGATATGGCTCACACAGGAGACCATGTAGCTCTCCAACCAGCAGATCCACAGAAAAATACGAAGCCTGTCTGGACCTCCTGAGACTGATGACTGAAAACACATCTGTTTTCAAACAACTAAGTTAAACACAGAACTGCGCGGCTGTGGTACCTGCAATGCTCCGTTTTTGCTGAAGGATGAGACGCACTGCATCAGCCTACTCAGCTCTTCAGAAACTGCTTCCACCAGCCTAGACAGCACCCGAGGCACCAGGCCTTTGGAAATAGTGAACACCTGACAGGACGTTGAAAGTAAGAAGAAATGATGCATTATGAGGGCTTGCCTTGACCAGAACTTGTTAAAAACAAAGGGATGCACGTAGCAAAACAACTCCCAGGTCTCCTAAGCTGTATTTCTGCAGGATCAGAATTAACGAAGGAAAGGCAGACACGGACTTGCACACAAGCTGTATTCACTGATTCGTGACAAAAAACATTCCTCTTAAAAAATATTGGCAAATGTAGTTTTGAAAGGTATTGTTGATGGGGACAAACTGAAATAGTTTTAAAGGTTTCTGCCTCCTCTACCCTTTTCACAAGAAGAAATACGATTTCTAAAGAGGAAATTATAGAAATAAAAACATACTGGGTCAGACTCTCCTTGGGTCAAAACAAATGCTACATCATACTGGATACGTTATTCTGTATTGGCCAACAGAGTTCCCGATTTTACTCTTTGCTGAATTAAATATATATTTCCTTTCATTTGACAAAAACATTGTTTTCAAGCTTTGAATTTTGATATTTGCAAACTAACAGTTTGGACATTTGGAGAAACATATTACTATCCTGATTTCTAAGTTAGACTAAATCGTATTTTCTTTTTAGCTTTTCCTTTTTTCAGATTCAATCACTAGTATTAAACCTTTGGGTCAACCCAAACATAACCTGAGTACTGAAGAAAATTTGCGGCAAGTTAAGATCATGTGGGAATAGTAAATAGTAAATGTTAAGTACAAAATTCTGTCTTCAGCCACTGGGATATATTAAAAAGGGCCTTGAAAAGCCTAATACAAACAACGTCATGGTTATCGACCGACAGTGGACGTTAATCAAAGTTGCCTCAGTGGGAATCACCATCATTACTAAAATGCCCACATATTCTGCAGCTCCTCTGATTACCACCTGCCCACCTACGACTGAAATGTCTCCACTGCCTGATGATTTAATGTTACACTCTAACTTTATCGGAAGCTAACCTAACAAAAAAGCGCTTTTATATGTCTTTGATAAAATCAGGGTTGAAAGTATATCACTCTTCATAAAAAGATGTACATGGCAAATTCCTGCCTGAGTCAGATCACATAAAAACTTTACTTCATGGAGAAACATGTATGCTCTGCCTCACTAGGAAATGAAAATTACAAGACACCCCACTCCGCTTTCTGCTCTGGCTGCTTCAGACTCAGAGCCAGGTGGAGGCTGCAATCTGTGTCCTTTGCTCGCTCTTCTGTTTCAGCCTTAATGATCCACATTTCTCCAGTTCACCTTGGTAACCCAGGCAGCACGTGTGCATGTGGAGGGTGACGTAAACCTGACACCCCCCGATGCACCTGCACCAGATGCAGATACTCAGAAGGTTCTCGAGCAGCAGTCAACTGCGCCTGAAATCTTCTACTGAGAACTTCTTTGCTGGGCCCATTTCATCTGGTGGACAACGGTTCACTGGCCACAGCCAACCTGGAAGTCCACGACTGCGGAATTACGAAGGCAGTCACAGCAGGGACAACGGTGGGACACTAAGCAGAAAGTGCCATGGGAGGGCAGGCTGGGTGTGAGCAACAGCACCAACGTCCAGGGGCACCTCTGTGAGATGCTGAGGGGAGGCCACCACCTAACTTCTTTCCAACACGCCCCACAGCTGCGAGAGTAAGATGTCAGCGCTCATTTGTACACTGGTTAAAAACAGGGCAAGGAATTTTCCAAGTTAGGGAAAGACATCCTTTCAATTTCTCTTCTCTTTACCTTTCAAATATTCATGAGTTTAGTTTTAATTATGAGAAAAAAACATACCCAATTTCAGAAAAAGACTCTCTGACAGTTAAAACACACATGTGCGTGCGCTGAAGCCAGAGGTGTATTTTATTTACACCAAAAACACATTCTGAAGGGAAAAAGACCTCCATAAAACCCATCGAACTGGCCTCTTCTTTTCTCCAGTTACCCACGTCCCTTAGGAATAGCTAAGGACGGCTTACCTCTGCATGCACAGCAATTATATTCACCAATGCTTCTTTTAAGTAGTTTCTGACACCTGAAATCAGATGGGGGAGGGAAAGGCATTTAGTGGAGACACGAGTGTGGGCGCTGCTGTGGCTGCCCCTGCCCCACACCTTCCAGGAGAGACGGAGGGGCAGCACTGGCCCAGGGCGCCTGAGAGCCAAATGGCCCGAGGGCTACGTTTGGTCAAGTTATTTTAAAAAAAGGTTAAATTAATTAGGAGTTTTCTTTCATTGTTTTTCCATTTCTGTCATTGTTCTGTTCTCTGTAATTGCTGATCAGTCTGTCAAAAGTGAAATTTAAAACTGCCCTTCAGTTTCTTCATACACATATTCTTCATATGTACACACACACACACACACACACGCACACACACACACACCCCACCCCCGCCAGACAAAACCCAGAGGACAGAAGGAGGATATTTACCAAAGTTTATGAAACATATGCTAAACATCTACTATAGCATCTTACTTCCAAATAAAAGTCGAATTATTATGCAGAATGACTATTTTGATCTTAAAAAAATTAGTTCTGGGTGAAACTTCTGAAAAAGACACACTCCAACCTGATTCTGTAAAGCAAGTTAGAGACTGGACAAACCCACGACTTCAGGATGGCACGGCTGCCCTCCAGGGCGGGCGCACACGAGAGGGCAGAGCGCAGTCTGCAGGCAGCGGGCATGGGTTCAGTCCAGCCTCCTCTCTACAGGCAGTGACCTGTGGCAGGAAGACAGGGACCCAGCTTCGCCTTCTATCGACAAGAGTGTGAGAACGCACCCGTGTGGGGCTGCAGTGAGGGGGTCCTGGCGTTCACAGGGCTCCTTAAGAGCTCCTTCGCTATTTTGCAAGAAAAAAAATATAAAAACAAAATGCTGCTTTATTGTAACTCCAAAACAATAGCTTTCACTTGGAGTGGAATTAATATCTCAGGATTCCTTCTAGAATTAATTGCACAAACTGACAATTCCTTCCCTACAAAACAGAAAATCCTACTGTATTGCAAAATCATGATGATGTTGAGGAGGATCTTCTCCCATAATGTCGTCCAAGCTACTGATTATTCAGGGAAGTTGAACTGCAATCACCTTGTTGACGTGGCATTTGCAGATTCTCAATACACAGCCAGCTTCTGGTTCTGCCATGTACCCTGGTGTGTAAGGAGGCACACGGCTTTTCTTCTGAGGAGCCAACCTCATAAATATTTCTTGGGGATATGGAGGTGCAGGCGTTTTTAATTCTATTTTGCTGACGGAGTAACTGAGAAAACTGGTTGAAGAATAATGAAATACAATCCAGAAACAGGTCGATTCTTCCTGAGAGAAAGGACAGCTGCAGAGTAACAAGTCTTCATATCAGCGAAGGCGGAACACATGACTTGTGCCGACGACCAGGAAAGCTTTCTGCCCGCAAGAGGAGGGCTGTCCCCCAGGGCCCCAGGCTGGGCATGAGGCAGGCCACAAGCACGGGGCCCATAGGCCTCAGCCGCCATGCTCGGGTGAACTCCGTGACCACTGAACTCAGGTCTCGAGTCTTTAAACTGCAACAGTGTGGAGGGCTGGCTCACGCATGTACAGAGAGAAAACGCAGTTACTAGAAGTTCGGCCCGACACTGGGCCAGTGAGGGTCTAAGCCAGAGGAGGGGCTCCCACGGCCTCTGTCTCCATGAAACCGGGGTCCTGTCAGTGTTGCTGGGACCAGCACCAGGAGTTGGGCCCAGCCACGTGCCTGGAACATGAGGGCAGCTGTGAGCTCCTCAGGTTCTTCAAGGGAACAGAGACGAGTGGGGCCAGAGAGCTGCCTGAGAAGCAGAAAATCGAACTTAGGACGAAGCAAGCTGAGGTCACGTGTGGGCGACCGCTCGCCCTGGGCTCGATGCCCACGCTGCCCCAGAGAAGGCGGCTCCTGGCAAGAGCACGGGTCTAGGCGCAGCCATTAAGCCCCCCCAGGAAGAGGTAAATCTAACTCACTAATCCAACCCCGAACACACAGCTGTGGAGGTAAGAATAAGAGTGCAGGTGCTTCTAAGAGTCAGGACCATGTTTGCGTTGATAGAAAATTTGAAAAAGCAATCGAGCTTCCCGTTTTATGTGGCTACAGGGTAACACGCTGGGAGGAGCATAGCGCCTCAGCCTTGCACAAGTAAGAACACTTTATCTTTCCTGGAGACTTTCCTTTGATGAATAGAAAGAATGAAATAATTACCCTCCTCCCAAACAACTCTTTCAAGGAGTAACACTGGAGGGACTTCCCTGGTGGTGCAGTGGTTAAGACTCTGTGCTCCCAATGCAGGGGTCCCGCGTTCGATCCCTGGTCAGGGAACTAGATCCCACATGCATGCCACAACTAAGGAACCTGCAAGCCACAACTAAGGAGCCCGCCTGCCGCAACTAAGACCCGGTGCAACTAAATTAATATTAGGAAAAGAAAAGGGGGGGTAATGTTGGAAACAGAGAAGGGAAAAGCTGTGGTCCTGGGATGAGAGGACATACAGCTGCTCCTGAACCATCACACGTCACATCAGGAGGGGGGGCAGGGGGCCCACAGTCCCATGAGGAGGGGGCAGGGGGCAGCGGCAGATCTGAAAGAGCAGGCGGCCCCAGGGAGCTCGCGAGACATGATCACAAACTCCGGAGCAACACACGTGCTGGTGTGGTAACAATAAAAACTTAAAAACACAAAAATCAATCATTGACAGCCTCCCTCCAAACAGCTAATCGTTGTGCTGAAACTGGTTAGCGCTAAGGGAATGGATTCATTCACCCAGCGTGAATCTGCTGGTTCGACTACATGCCAGGCACGCGTCGGAGGTGCTTGGGCACTGGGTCCTCCAGGCAGAATGTGCGTAAATCCCCAAAGTGCTAGTTCCCGAGTTTCACCCCAAGGTGCTGGGTGCTCATATTTGTGTCCAAGGGGCAGGGAGAAGTAATGCCAGGTGCCCACATGGAAGGGTTGTGTGCTGTAGAAACGATCGCTGTTCTCCGACAGACGCTAACCCGTGAACCATTTCCTTGCTGTCCCTGTTCTGTGACGGTCCTGAAAGGTGAGGGGTGGTGTGCGGGGGTGGGGAGGTGGAGGCCATCGGGGCACTGGGCTGGGGCCTAGACGCCTCGTGTCCGGGGACTGAGGTCTGAAGGCCACAAGCATGCAACAGATGAGACCACTGAGGTCTTCTGAGGTTGGAATCTCAATTCCTCCCTCTGAGGAGAGACACAAGGCCAAGTCGCCCTGCTCGTGGCCCTGCTTCCCAGGCCCTGCTCTGAACCTCGCAGGGACCACACTGACACTTTCGGGTGTGTTTCTAAAGCCTGAATGCAGATTTGCTCCTTGGGTTTAACTGCCTGTTGAGTTTCCTGCTTTGAAATGTTACTCCAAATCCAACTGTAGGAGGATGTAGGCTCTTTCAAACCTGCAGCACAAGAGGCCTGGCACAGTGGAGGCACCAGAGGGCACCCCCGCTTGGGGGAAGCTCCAAGAAGAGCTGCAGGCACGTTTTGTCATCCGCATGGCTGAGGCCTCAGGGGGCAGCCGGGGAAGCTGGGGATGCGTCCGCAGGGGCTGTGGTCAGACGCCCGGAGTGGGATCAGGAGAGGATTTTGGTTACAGTTTTCAAAGGCTCCACGACACTGACGAAGGGACCATCCTTAGTGAACTTCAGTGATACATGCTCTCTCCCCACTGCATTTATCTGTATGCTTTTACTATTATGAACATTAATGGTTAATGACGACTTTCAAGTTCATCAAGGTGACAGAAGGGACACTCAGTGTAAAGTCAGAAGACTCGGGGTCTAAGTTCTGGCTCACCTACATACAAATGATGCGGCCGTAAGATAAAAGTCAGTTCACCCTCTAGACAACTGCCTACTTTGCACAAGGTAGAAATGACAACATCTGCTTTGCTAACAAATCTGTGATGAAAATGTGATGTGTGTTTATTCCCTTCTCCTTCAAACATCTGCTGGGCACGGCCAGTGGGGTGCACCCCCGTGAGCCGAACAGGCGAGACCCTCCCTCCCCACTGAAGAGCACGCACGCACGCACCCTGGGGTCAGGACTCCAGAGAAGGCTGCCTATTTCAGGTACCATTTCTTAAGACATAAACAAAAAGTCAGCTAGAAGCCATGACCACTAGAAAATATACACTGATTTCTCTTTCTGAAACACACGGTGCAGAATCTGGACAATGCATCTGGTCTCGCCTTGAAGAAAACAAAGACGGTCTTTCTGAAACAATTTTTCAGGATCCATTTGAAAATTACAACTTAAATAAAGAAGGTATAGCAGGACAGAATATTGCTGAGGCTCAATACATTTGTTTTTAAAATACGATTTTTCTAGCTGCATCCTAAAGCAAAAAGCTTGCTCCAAATAATACAACACTCAACACTTACTAAACGCTCACTGTGCCAGATACCTAGGAAGACGCTTGGCTTATTAGAACGTATGAACACTCGGCAAATGTGCTGGCTTCAGCTTCGGCTTCAACAGCAGCAGGTCATAAATGCTGACTTGACGGGACTAGCTGGCAACGTGAGCATGTGCACAGGAAGAATAAAGCAAACGGACAAGAGCTACTTTACTGTGATGCAGTAGTTAAGTGTTTGTAGAAAGGTTCCTCCCGCACAGCTTCCCATGTTATTTAGACACAGAATGAGAGCAGCTTCTAAGTATTTACAATATTATCTCCTTGACGCTCTGAACGTGAAATTAGAATGTGTCATGATATTTGACCAAAAAGTGCCCCTAACCACGTAGCATCAGTCCAGGCCGTCACTGAGCAGTTCACCCAGTGGCCCAGGTGGGAATTCTCCACGGAGAAGGCAGAGCCCAGACCTTCTGGGCAAGAGCCTCTGGGCCCCTCGCAGGGTGGGCTTCTCGTAAGGGGGCCTGGACCTCAGAACATCTTTGCCAGCAATGGTCTTGTTTTTCATAAAACTCTATTTGTCAGTTACTTGTTTTAATCAAATAGAGAGGACACTTAATTTTGGAATAACTAGTAAAATTTTTATTGAGTGCCTATTAATATTACATGC